TCCTATGATGCTGCTTGGCCTGCTGTGTTCATCCAGCCCTGCACCTTGTTGTCTCGGATTCTCCAGCATCTACAGTTCCTACTATCTATGAGCTTCTGTGGCTGTTTATAAAATGCCTTCTGGAAATATAAGTACGTTACATCTATCAGTTCCCATCATCCACAGCATGTTACTTCCTCAAGAACTTTAATAGATTGGTTAAACATGATTTCCCTTTTACAGAACCATTTTGATTCTTCCTAGTTACCTTGAATTTAGCCAGTTGCCCTTCTTTGATGACTTTGGTGATAGCTTTTGATGTTTTCTTCATGACTTTTATGTTAAGCTAGTTGGCTTGCAGTTTCCAGCTTTCTGTCTCCCTATTTTCGAGTAAGAGTTAAATTTGTTACCTTTCAATCTAATCAACATTTGCCCAAGTGACAGTTACTTTTAGTGTGAATCATCGTTTCTAAAAGGTTTCCCACCACTGAGGTGGAACTGCCTGGCAAACAGTTGCTAGGTTTATTGTTGCACCCTTTCTTGAACAAGGGCATAACATTTGCATGTCTCAAGTCTGCTAGCTCCATCCCTGTATCTAGAGGTTTGGAAAATTATGGCCAGTATTTCCTCAATTTTCTCCCTTATTTCTCCCATATCCTTGGACATATTCTGTGACTTATAAGTATGGCTAAAACAATGCCTTCTCAAGTTTTAGTCCGTCAAGCATATCAAATACATTCCCTTTCATTATGACTTGGACAGAATCTTTCTCCTTGGTAAAATAGATGCAAACTGTTCATTTAGTACCTCAGCCATACCCTCCTTTTTTTTCCTTATGTAAATCTCCTTTTAGGTTCCTAATTAGCCTCACTCTTTCTCTATGACCTTTTTTATTCTTTTTATATGTCTTTAGAAGACTTTTACATTTCTCTTTTTAGTTGCCAGTCATTTCTCATCCTCTCTCTTTGCTTTTTACACTTGTTTTTCCACTTCCCTTTTTAGCCCTCTATATACAGCCTAGTTATCAATATGGCACCTGTCCTAAAAATCCATTTTATGGATCTTACTGTATCTGTTTTGTTATCATTTATTTCCCCTATTTTTTCCTCCGTCATGGCAATCTCCTTAACTATAAGTCAACTACCTCCTGTCTACTGACAGTCCATCGCTCAGAGTTTTTGTGTGCCAATATTTGATTCTAATTTGCCTGGGCCAGGCCTGTTTTCACCGCATTTAAAGTGCTCCTCTGCCAATTAATTGTGTTTTTTTACTCTGGACTATTCTTTGTCGTTTTCTGTGGCTAACCTGCATCACGTTATATAAAGATCACTGTTTTCCCCTAAACATTCCCCTACTGATACTTGATACATTTGACCCACTTCATCAGCTAGAACCAGATCCAGTAACATCTCTTTCTTGGAGATAGTAGGAACTGCAGATGCTGGAGAATCTGAGATAACAAGGTGTAGAGCTGGATGAACACAGCAGGCCAAGCAGCATCAGAGGAGCAGGAAAGCTGACGTTTCAGGCCTAGACCCTTCTTCAGAAATCTCTTTCTTATTTCACTGGAAACATATTGCAGCAAATTTTTTCATGATCATACCTTAAACTCTTCTCCTATAATAATTATTATCCCAGCTATTACTAGGATATCAAATTTCCCACATAAGTAATCTAATTCTTGGACTCCTGTGCCAATCCCATGCAGACTTGCTTTTCTGTATCTTTCTTACTAGTTAGTGACCTATATAATGCATCCAGCAATGCAGTGATTCTTCTGCTTCTTGCTGTGATGTTTACAAAGCAGCTGTTGAATTTCCTAAATTGTGGCAACAATTACATTGCGAAAACTGACTTGAGTGGCTGCAAAAGCACTTTGAGACATCTCAGAATTGCAAAAGATATATAAATGTAACTTATTTTTCTGTGGAAAGCTGTAAAGCCAGGACTAAATGGGGTTTGAGGAAAATAACTATATTTGCATCTTTTCTCACTGTAAAATATGCAATATTGTATAGTTTTAAAATGTCATATGATTATTTCATGAACATTATGGCGCAAGGCTAAGGATGTGATACTGAGGCAAAGAAACAAAAGGTGTAAATGCTTATGTCCAAGGTAGAGAAGGGGAAAATCTTGGAAAATTTTGATAGATGAGAAATTCTACTGAGAAGTGTAACAAAAAGGAGAGGTCTAAAGCATATCTGGCTGTGTAGTACTAATGAATGATCTCTTACTGCAGAGCCCCCCGCCCTGTATTAGCCTGATTTCCTCCACTTCCAGTGGCAGTAGTACAGTCATCCTCATTATTGCATGTTTGAACAAAAATAAAAGCCTGGTTTAATTTGAAAACTACAGACTTTGCTTTAAAATGTCGAGTAGACAGATATGAGTTTGTATACCTCAAGTTTGCATTGAGCTTCATTGAAAGAGCAGCAGGATAGAAAATCAATGCAACTTGTAAAGCTTGGTCATTTCCGTTTTAATTCTAATTAGGTCAGATCTGACTATCACATGGCATTGGCCTGAGTTTGAATTGGGTCTGAGCTTGATTTAAGTGTATTGTTAGTGCACTGGGCATTATCTTGAAATGAGACGCAGTTCTCCATGCGTGAAAGGTGTTCAGCAGTATGGTAAAGATGATGCAATTGTAAAGGGTGTGAGTAGACTTTGGATCTTGTATTTCTTTTGGGCACTGCAAAGCACTCTGTCATTCCACAAATGCCAATTTTAGTTTATTGTTAGTTTAACGAGACCTAATTACATTTTTGTTGTATTTTGGACTTAGTGACATCCAGTGCTGCTTACTAGCCTAATTAAAGGTGCATTGACAAACACTTGTTAACAACAATGACATATTTTTAACCTAACTAATATGTAACCTTCATCCTGACCCTAACCCCTTAAATCTAATATCAGGGACAAAAATGAGAATGTTAATCCTGAACTTTATCCCAACTCCTAATTGTTATAGAACAGCCCAGCCCCCTTCAGATCTATCAAGGAGATAGGGTCAAGGCTAACTTTTACCTTGTTTAAAGGCAAGTATAAGTTCCAGAGGTAATTTGATTAGTTACACCTCTTGGCTTTAAGCAAAACACACTTTATTGTTTAAAATACATACAAAAGAAAGGAGAATTGATAAATTTAACAGAATAATAGATTATTTAACGACTAAGTAGCAACTGGTCCAATGTAATAATATCCATAAACACCCCCTTGCAAAGGAAAATTCAGTAAAATAGATTGTCTGGCATTCAATTCTTACAGCAGAGAGAACTCCAGCATTTAGCTGTTGAGAGTGGAATAACAACAGCTTCCACAACCAGCTTCAAGACTCCAGCAGCTGTTGAAAGCTAAACTAACCATCTGACTCCACCCATTCATGCTTCTATTGTTCCAACTTTTTTTAAAAAAACATCTGCCTCTCAAGCTGTTTATTAGCTTGGAGAAGACAGCTTGACACCTATGGGTCAAAACTTCTTTTTCCAAAAAAGAACAAAATACGCCTCTTAAAACCATAGTATCATCACACTGAACCTGAACTAAAAACGCCATGTGAGTCCTAATACATAATCACAAAGTCACATGACAATAGTATGGTTCTGAGCCAGTTTTGATACCACTAATGTTATGTGACATTACTAATAGAATCCCTACAGTGCAGGAAGAGGCCATTTGGCGCATTGTCAGGGCTGAGCCAAACCACCTTGGTCGAACAAAATATAAAATATTTCGATCACCATAATCACTCACTGCAGAAAATAGATAAGATACTTTACAAACTTAAAAGAAAATGCTGTGATTGTTTTTTGATTTTATGCTATATACTATCAAATTACCAACTGTTTATTTTTTTGTATATTTTTGTTTGTTACAATTTTCATCAATTGTCGAAAAAACCCACCTGGTTCACTCATGTCCTTCAGGGAAGGAAATCTGCCATCCTCACCTGGTCTGGCCTACATGTGACTCCAGACCCACAGCAATGTGGTTGACTCTCAATTGCAGTCTGAAATGGCCGAGCAAGCCATTCAGTTGTACCGATCGCTATAAAGCCTCAAAGAAATGAAACCAGATGGATCACCTGGAATCGACCTAGGCACTGGAAAAGACAACGGCAGGAACAGCCCTACCGACCCTGCAAAGTCCTCCTCCCTAACATGTGGGGGGTTGTGCCAAAATTGGGAGAGCTGTCTGTCAGACTAATCAAGCAACAGCCTGACATAGTCATACTCGTGGAATTGTACCTTATGGACAATGTCCTGGACACCCTCAATCGCCATTCCTGGATATGTCCTGTCCCATTGGCAGGGCAGACCCAGCAGAGGTTGTGGCACAAGTGGTATACGGTCAGGTGCCCTAGGAGCCCTCAACATTGACTCTGGACCACATGAAGTCTCATAGCTTCAAGTTACACATGGGCAAGGAAACGTGCTGCAGATTACTATGTACCGTCCTCCCTCAGCTGATGAGTTGGTGGTACTCCATGTTGAACGACACTTAAAGGAAACACTGAGGATGGGAAGGACACAAAATGTACTCTGGGTGGGGGATTTCAATGTCCACCACCAAGACTGGCTCGGCAGCAGTACCACTGATCGAGCTGGTTGGGTCTTAAAAGACAGCTGCTAGACAGGGTCTGCGGCAGGTGGTGAGGGAACCAACGAGAGAAAAAACATACTTGACCTCATGCTTACCAATTTGCCAGCTGCAGATGCATCTGTCATGACAGTATCGGTAAGAGGGACCACTGCACAGTCCTTTTGGAGACAAAGTGAAGCCACCAAACAGGGCTACGTGCATGCCAAACAGCATAAGCAGCAAGTGATAGACAGAGCTAAGCAATCCCCCAACCACCAGATCAGATCGAAGCTCTGCAGTCGTGCCACATCTAGTCATGAATGGTGGTGCACAATTAAACAGCTCAGTGGAGGAGGAGGCTCCACAAGTCTCCCCATCCTCAATGACTGAAGAGCCCAGTGCAGTGCAAAAGATAAGGCTAAAGCTTTCGTAGCAATCTTCAGCCAGAAGTGCGGAGTGGATGATCCATCTCTGCCTCCTTCAGTGGTCCCCAGCATTACAGATAGCAGTCTTCGCCAATTTGATTCACTCCATGTGATATCAAGAAACAGTTGGAGACACTGGCTACTGCCAAAGCTATGGCCTCTGACAACATTCCGGCAGTAGTACTGAAGACTCTCTTAGCCAAGCTGATTCAATACTGTTAAAACACTGGCATCTACCCGACAATGTGGAAAATTGCCCCAGGTATGTCCTGTAGATAAAATGCAGGACGAATCCAAACTGACCATTTACTGTCCTGTCAGCATACTCTTGATCATCAGTAAGGTGATAGCAATGTTGCTGACAGTATCCATCAAGCAGCACCTGCTCGGCAATAATCTGCCCAGCTTGGGTTCCACAGGGCCATCCAGCTCCTGATCTTATTACAGCCTTGATTCAAACTTGGACAGAAGAGGTGAATTCCAGAAGTGAGAGTGATAGCCCTTGACATCAAGGCTGCATTTGACTGAGTGTGGCATCAAGGTGCCCTAGCAAAACTGGAATCAATGGGTGAGGGGGGGGGCGGAAGAGCGGAGAAACTTTCGATGGCTAGAGTCATACCTAACATGTTGGAAGATGGTTGTGGTGGGTGCAGGTCGGTCACCTCATCTCCAGGACATCTCCGCAGGTGTTCCTCAGGGTACTGTCCTAGGCCCAACCATCTTCAGCTGCTTCATCAATGACCTTCCCGCCATCGTAAGGTCAGAAGTGGGGATGTTAGCTGCTGATTGCGCAATGTTCAGCACTATTCGTGACTCCTGAAATACTGTCCATGTCCAGATCTTGTTACATTTAGACAATATCCAGGCTTGGGCTGACAAGCGACAAGGAACATTCATGCCACAAATGTCAGGCTATGACCATCACCAATAAGAGACAATCTAACCATAGCCCCTTGATTTCAATGGTGTTACCATCGCTGAATCCCCACAATAAATATCCTGGGTGTTATCACTGACCAGAAACTCAACTGGACTCACCACACAAACACAGACTATGAGCAGGTGCGAGGCTGGGCCTCCCAAAAACCTGTCCACCATCTACATGGCACAAGTCAGCAGTGTGATGGAATACTTCCCACTTGCCTGGGTGAGTGCAGCCCCAACAACACTGCGTTAAAATCCTGGCATTCCCTCCCTAATGACATTGTGAGCCAAACCACAGCAAGTGGACTGCAGCGGTTCAAGAAGCAGTTCACCACCACCTTCTCAAGGGCAACTAGGGATGGGCGAGAAATGTTGACAAGCCAGTGCAAAATGAATAAATTAAAAAAAACTTAAGTTCCTGTACACAATGAGCATGAAAGCAATGTATTTGCTTAAATCATATTATCGTCAGGCTGTAAAAGGATCTTTTACAGTGAGATCTATCATTACATTCTACTTGGCTGTCATTGCAATTTCAACGATTTTGCTAATTAATGTATGCTTAACTTACTTCAAGGTAACCATGCTCCTAAGTTTGAATCAAAGTCCCTGTACTTGATCTAAAATATCTAAGAACTTGAGGTTTTTCATAATTTCAAACTTTTTAAATACTTTTTACAGCTCCGTTTTATCTAACCCGGCACAGCAGTTACCGGAGTGTTTGTACAGCTCCCTCTGAAACTGTCACCTACCAGGAACTAAAACAGTTGCTTAAGTCAAAAACAATTGTGATTGATGTCAGAGAACCCTGGGAGATCAAGGAGTATGGACAAATTCCTGGATCTATAAATGTGCCGTGTAAGTATATCATTGAGTATAATTCATTTTCTGCTGCACTGAATTTTTATAACTATTAGAATAGTTTGGAGTAATAATGAAAGAAATAGAATTCTGGATTATTTTATCAACTGGTTTGAATTCAGCTCCTGGTGCTAATGGTGATGTTGTATTTGCTTTTGTGTTAATGTGATTGGATATTGCTGGATATACCAATACTTATTGCCAATTTGTAATTGGCCTTGAGCTGAGTGGCTTCCCAAACCATTTCAGGAGGCAGTCAATCTTGCTGCGTATCTAGAACTAAATGTAGACAAGGCCAGGTAAGGGTGGAAGATTTCCTTCCTTAAGAAAGGTTTCTGAACTAGATGTCTCTCTTTTTATGACTATTCACTACTTTTTACCATTTAGCCTGTCTTCTAATTCCAATTTTTTTTAATATAAATTCAGATTTCACCATGGGAGGTCTTGAATTTGTTTCCACAATACATGAGCCTGCAGTTCTGCATTATTAGTCCAGTGACATTACCACCACACCATCACCACCCCGAGACTGAACGTAGATTGTTGTGTACTGACCTGGACAGTGGGACATAACTGCACGCCGTAGATACATTGTGGAAGGAAATAACAAGTTCTGATTAAAAACCAAAAGAACTGCGGATGCTGTAAATCAGGAACAAAAACAAAAGTTGCTGGAAAAGCTCAGCAGGTCTGACAGCATCTGTGGAGGAGAAAACAGAGTTAACGGAAGTTCTGAGGAAGGGTCACCGGACCCGAAAAGTTAACGTTTCAGGTCCGGTGACCCTTCCTCAGAATTTCCATTAACTCTGTTTTCTCCTCCACAGATGCTGTCAGACCTGCTGAGCTTTTCCAGCAACTTTTGTTTTTGAACAGGTTCTGATTGTCAGAATAACCTGATAGGTTTATGGGGTTTATTTTATTAATCTTTAAGGAGACATCCTTGAAGGAACCTTTCTATAGGGTATATAAGACGCATGAAACAAGAACAAATTGAATTTAACAGTACTTTCAGAAGTGAGAGAGACCAGAGAAAAGAAGTCCAGGATTCATTGGAAAGGACATCTTGAGGACTGGTATGATAAATATTTATTTTTGTGTAAGCTGGAATGAGCTGCAGCATTTGGGGACCAACAAGAATAATGAAAAAATGTTAAGATTAGTGTTTTTGAAGAACTAGAATAAATGCCATGCTGTCTAGTGGATTAGCAACCTGGAGATTGAATTCACAGTCCGTTCTGGCAAGTTATGGAGTAGAGTTCAATAAGTCTGCACTTTTCAGGATAGCTTTTGCAATGTCAGAAATTACTTCATTAGAATTCTTTAAAGCAAGTCTGCCACCCTATGTGTACATATGTGACTTTTGGTATGCGATGTGGCTGAGGCTTGATACCACCTTTTGGGACTGTCTCAAAGTCAATTACATGCAATTTTGGCCAAGTTGACACAGTTGAATATGCCCTGCTGCTTTTCATATTTAATAAAGAATTTTTGTTATACTATGATGTTACAGTTTGTAATGATGTGTGGTTCTGTAACTGCTACTAGCCTGTAAAATTTCATGGCTGGTAAGTTTTTATGTACTTTAAATTTACCCTTGTTTTATCCAATTAGTGCAGTTGCAGTACCGTGCTATGTGGTGGAGGGGAGCTCGCTACGGAGAGACGATTTTGTATTCATGTGGACTGTGTTATATTCACATGTCTCAGTTCTTGTACACAGTTGAGTTTGCAATAGACTATTTTTAATCTAGTCATATTAAGTTCAACATGAATTCAGGTTCTCTCTCCATACTTGCTGAGTTTTTTTTTCCAGCAGTTTGCTTATGTTGGCTGCCTTTTTTTGTTTGCTTCTCTTTTGAGCACTGCACTGTGTTGAGTTTGTACGAAATAGCTGCTCATAGTTCACATATCTGTCTAACTAAAGACCTTCTTCAAAAATAACTTGTGAATATGAACAGTACTTTTTAATATTTTGAAATGTTCATGTATTTCACAGTTGCACAATTCTTACAATATTTGACATTGAATTACAGAAGGCGATTTTAGAACAAATGATCAAAAGCTTGATCGGTAGTTTTAAAGAGTGGTAGGTGTTTAAAAAGTGATTTCAAAGAGTGTCTTAAAGAAAGCAAAGTGAACAGGTTTAGAGACAGAATTCCAGAATTTGGTCTTGATGCTGCTCACTCTCTGAACAGTCAGACTTCCTGTTGTGTTTACTGTATTAGGAAATTAATACGTAAAAATTATGAAATTGTACCATTTGGACTTCACTTCAGGCTGCAATTTTTAAATGCTATAGTAGCACAAGACCGTAATAAACCAAAATGGGAGTAGATTGGCACCTCAGGCCTGCTCCAACATTCCTCGTGTCCACTTTCCTGCAATTTCCCCATAACCCTGATCAAGAATCTGTTTACCACAGCCTTAAATATACACAAGAACTCTGCTCCTAAGCTGTCTGTGGCAGGAATTCCAAAGACACAGTCCTCTGAAAGAAATTTCTCTTCATCTCAGTCTCAAATTGTCAATGTCCTCTTGTCCTAGACTCTCCTGTGAGGCGAAACATCCTCCCAGCATGTACCTTGTCAAGCCCCTTGAATCCTTTATTTTTGTTTTTTAATAACCTCTCATTCTTTTAAACCCCAGTGAGTAGAGTCCCAAACTATATAGCCTTTGCTGATAAGATAATCCTTCCATACAAGGAATCATCCTACTGAACCGCCTCCAATGAAATGATATTTTCTTAAAATAGGGGATCAAAACTGTTCACAGTGCTCCAGATGTGGTCTCGCCAGCTCCTTTTACAGTTGCAGTAAAACTTCCCCACTCTTATACTCTAACTCCCTTAAAATAATAGCCAATATTTCTTTAGAATTCCTGATTACCTGCTGCATCTGTGTGCTAGCTTTGTGTTTTGTGCACAAGTACCCCCAATTCCCTTTAATGTAGCAGCCTTCTGCAATTTATCCCCATTCAAAAACTGTTATTTTGTTCTCTCTTACAAAACGAACAACTTCACATCTTCCCACATTATACTCCATTTGCCAACAATTAGCCCACTTATTTAACCTATCATATCTCTAAACTTGTTTGATCCTTCTTGTAACTTGCCTTACCACCTATTTTTGTGGTGTTTGCAAATTTGGCTACAGTACATTCACTTCCTTCCTCCAAGTCATTGTTTTATAAATAGTTGCAGTCCCAACAGTGATCCCTTGGAACCCTAATGGTTACAGTTGTCAACTTGAAAAAGAGCTCCTTAAACCTACACGCAGTACCTTTTGGGAGGTACCTTGTCAATCGCCACCTAGAAATTTAAATAAAATGCATTTGGTTCCTCTCTATCTGCTCTTGTTAAGACTTCCTCAAGAAACTCTAAAAATTAGTCAGGTGTAATTTTCCTTTCATGAAGCTATGTTGAGTGTGCTTGATTAGATTGATGTTCCAAATGTTCTGCTTTTATTCCCTTGACTCCAATACTTCTCCAACAATAGATGTTCAGCTAATCAGCCTGTAATTCCCTGTATTTTTGCCACACCCACCGCTACCCTGCCTTTTGATTAGAAATAGTGCATGTTTGACCATTTGTTTAAAAAAAATCTTTTATCATTGCCAAAGACAAACTCTTCCTTTTATCAACAAAAGTAAAAAGAGGATTCTCTGAAATTTTATATTGCAAATTTCCAAATTCGTAACCTTTGTTACCTAGAAAGACAAGAAACAGCCACTCTGTGTAAATTCTACACTTAGCCAGATGTTCTTATGTCCTGGAGTGGTATCACTGTCACTGGGTCAACATTCCCAAACACCTTCACTAACAGTACTGTGGGTGTAACTGTGCAATATGAATTGCAGTGGTTCAGGAGGGGGACTAGCCATCTCCTTGCAGTGACTAACTGGGGACTAGCAATAAATGCTGCCTTTCCCAGCAAGTCTACATCCCATGATTGAATGGCAAAAAAGAAGTTGGAAGAAAATTGCTGTGAAGAAGCATGCCTGTGGAATAATTTTCCTTGCTTTTTTCCATGAATAGGATAGAACATTGTTTATTATTAACAGTAAATATGGTAATTATCCAAGTTTGTAAGCATTGTTGAATAGATTGTTCCAAAATTTGCTACAGTATGGATGCAACTAATGTTTCTTTTGATCTGACACATAAAAGGTTAATAGCAATGTTTTTATATATCTTATTGGTGGAATGGTTTAAACATAGATTACAAAAACAAAGTTGCTGGAAAAGCTCAGCATGTCCGGCAACATCTGTGAAGGAAAAAACAGAGTTAACGTTTCGGGTCCGGTGACCAGGTCAGTTCTGAGGAAGAGTCACCGGACCCGAAACATTAACTCTGTTTTTTCCTTCACAGATGCTGCCAGACCTGCTGAGCTTTTCCAGCAACTTTGTTCTTGTTCCTGATTTACAGCATCTGCAGTTCTTTTGGATTTTTATTAAATATAGATTACACTGATTTTAACTGTCCAATTATCTAAAGTGGGACAAGTGGAGCAAGCCTTGAAGTTGGATCCAAGCAAATTCATGGAAACCTACAATGGGAAGATGCCATCCACATCCGACGAAATTGTCTTTTCATGTTTGGCAGGAGTCAGGAGCAAGAAGGCTTTAGATACTGCGACATCAATGGGCTACAGCAGGTGAGCAGTAGCAAGATAAAATACTGTTCCTTTTTACTTTCTACTTTATTGCTCAGTTACCTAAGCAAACTGCTAATCAAAATTTTAAATCGTAGCTCTGAGTTTGAATGAGGCTGCATTCACAAGTGTGTTACAGTACAAGAAAAGATTCTGAATTGTGGTTGCATTGGCATTAATCATAGAATTCTTCGTGTGGAAGTGGGCCATTTGACCCATTGAGTCCACACTGACCCTCGAAAGAGCATTCCCACCCAGACCCAGCCCCTACCCCATCCCTGTAACCTGAATTTCCCATGGCTGACCCCCTCCACCTAGTCTGCACACCCCTGGATATGCAATTTAGCCTGGCTAATCCACCTAACCCGCACATGTTTGGACTGTGGGAGGAAACCAGAGCACCGAGAGGAAACCCATGCAGATGTTGGGAGGATGCGCAAACTCCACACAGTTGCCCGAGGGCAGAATTGAACCGGGGTCCCTGACACTGTGAGACAGCAGTGCTAACCACTGAGCCACCGTGCAGCCCCTATTCTTTTCCTATCATGTCCAGTCTGCTAGTATTTTATCCACAAAAGCCATAGTGTTTACTCCCAATCCCATGCGTATCGTGTAGCTTTGTATTGCTGCTTTTTAAGAAAAAACTGTAATTCTCCATGGAACTAAATATTGGTTCTCTGATTCACGCAGCAAAGAAAACAATAATCTAACCACATTGGAAATGTTTTATTTAGCATTTGCTTAATTCTTTCTGATTCATAAATGTTTGCTGCCTTGTTGCTAGCTGTCTTGTGGAGAGTGGTTGCTATTAATATTATTATAGGTCTTCAGAATGTTGAAGAGTTCTCATGGTTACATAGTCTTCTAAAATGTCATGAAAAATTACTAAGCTTGAGTCTTTTCAAAACTGCAACCCATAAAGCTTGATCATTATGAATCTACTTCCAGTTTGTACATTTTTTCATGTTGTATTGGGCAGTTCAAAATTGCACGCTGTAATCCAACTGCAGCTCCAGATTATTTTGTATCCCCAGTTTGCAGTCCAAACTATCAGTTTATCTTTTTATGGCTTCTCACTCTGGCTGACCAACCTTTATGATCATCTGTGTATCCAAGGAGCCTCTACCCCATTTAATTTTCAAATTTTTTCCATAAACACACCTCTAATTTTTTACACAACAGCAATGATCCCTATCTTTGCTCTTCAGTTAGCTGTAATAATCAAACATTGATAATGTACTAATCTTGAATCTGTATCCCAACAAACTTCAATGAAACTTAGAAAATAGGAACAGGGAGTAGTCCAGTAGACACTTTAAGCCTGCTAATCGTTTAATATTTTCACAGCTGGTCATCCAAATCAGTAACTTGTTTCTGCTTTCTGTGTACTGTTGATCCCATTAACTCTAAGAACTGTACCTACCTTCTACTTGAAAATATTCAATGTTTGGCCTTAACCACTTTCTGTGGCAGAGAATTTCACAGGCATGCCACCCTCTAGGTGAAGTAGTTTCTCTTCATCTGAGTCTTAGAAATTACACTTATTAATGATTTAGATGAGGAAACTACTATCTAGCTGGAGTCCAAGCACTGATTCCTGTGATAACTACCAGTTACTGTCTGTCACTCGGAAGAAGACCCATTTATTCCAGCTTTGTTTCCTGTCTGCTGACCAGTTCTCTATCTATGTCAGTACATTACCCCAATCAGAGTCAATTTAATTTTATATGCTAATCACTTATGTAGGACCTTTATCAAAAGTCTTCTATACGTATAAGTAAACCAAATGAACCACATCCACCGGCTTCTACTTAACTCTACTTGGTACTGTTGCAAAGTTGGTAGAGTATTTGTGGACTGTGAGATAGGATGTTAGAATTTAGTGTTTATAAAATGCAAGGGTTGAAAGCAGTGTGTGATCCCTTTAAAAGATGATGTGCTTTTTCTATGCTTAGATTCAAAAAGGATGTCTGTGGGCAGCAGCTTGTGGGTTTGCAGGTGCACTGAGCTCCTGAATTGAAAACTTTGTATCAAAAGGCTGTACAGTCAGCAGGCTAAGCAGCAGTTTTGTTTTGTTATCAAGACAAGAAGTTTTGAATTTAGCCAATTAATTTTAACCAGACACCCAGATACCAAAAACTAATTAAATTTAAATATGATGGTTTTGACAATGTAACAAAAAAACAGATTACACCCTTTCTCAATGCCGTTTAACAGATTATAGGGCAGGGTACTCATCTCTGCATGTTTCAGTTTTGGTTATCAGAGGGAGGTCAACCTTTGTTTTATAACAGTACTTCCTCAAAAAAAATTCCAGCAGATTTGTCAAGCGTGAATTGCCTTTTGTAAATCCATGCTGACTGTCTGATCTTGTCACTATTTTCTAAGTGCTCTGCTATTAACTTTTTTTATAACAGACTTGGTGTTTTTGCCATTACCAATGTTAGGCTAACCAGTCTATAATTCTATTTTCTAACTCCTTTTCTAAATAATGGGGTTATGTTAGCTATTCCAATCCATATGAACTGTTCCACAGACTATAAAATCTTGAGAGATGTCCACCAGTGCATCGATTATTTGTGAAGCCGTTTCCTTGCGTAATCCGAGATGTAGGTTATTGGGCCCCAGGGATTTAGTGGCCTTCAATCCCATGAATTTACCCAACACTATTTCCCTACTAATACTGATTTCCTTCAGTTCCTCCCTCTCACTAGAACCTGCATTCCCTGACATTTTTGGAATGTTATTTGTGTCCAGTTCTATGAAGAGAGAACTAAAATATTTTACCCCATGTACCCTTCTTAAATGATTGCCATTGCCTATGAACCACATCCTTTAAGTAATGTTCTCCAATTTAGCATAGCCAGTTTGTGCCTTATATTGTTGCTGTTTCGTTTATCTAGTCTCAATCAAAGACAGAATTCTTCATTAAAATAGAGTTTTATCATATTTGTGGTCACATTTCCCCAAAGTGCCTCACACAGCTACATTGCCAATTATTCCTTTCTGAATATGCAATACCCAGTCTAGGATGGCCCATTCTCTAGGTGGCTTCTCAACATATTTATCCAGAAAACTGTCCCTTTCACATTATAAGCATATCTCACCATTGGTATTAATAATTCGATTTAGCTAACATACGTGCAGATTAAAGTCTTAGGTTCAATACTAATATTGGAATATTGTCAAGGCCCATAACTTTTGCAGTGTTTAGTGCATCCCAGCTACCTCTTGATATGAAAGAATAATGTTGCTTTTCAGGAAATATTAATTAGCCTTCATATGTCTGTGAAATGTCATTCTTCAATTAAAACAAGTGATTATCTTCAGTTCCAGAACAAATACTGTACTGCAAGTGGTATCAGATGTTTTGAAACAATTCGTATCATTACTTTTAATATTTTTGTACTTCATTCCCCTATTTATCAGTGAAATATAAATTCATACTGTTGTGTGACCTTCCATCATCTGACATCAAGTAGTGAGTGCTTTTTTTGTTTCAGAGCTCTACATTTCCCTGGTGGTTGGGAAGAATGGGTGAAACGTGAATTTGCTGAACATCAGCGCTGAGCTGCTTTGAGAATTTTTTCCCGAAGAAATAAAGAAAAATTCTCCATTATGATCACTACTCGAGAATATTAAATCTTCACTTTTAATAATTGAACTTTTCTTACCTAAATATCATTTCTTTTTTAGCTAAAATGTATAGCTGAGAATTGTGAAAGGTTTGAGAAATGTTTTTGCAAAACTGGCAACAAACTTTACCATCTTATGCTTTTGGAATAAGACCCCAGTAGGCTAAATTTAACTATTTACTGTATTTTTCTTTGAGAGAGTCAGCAGAATTTGTATTAAGCCAATTAAGCTGTGATTTATAACTATCAACCAAACCTCTGCATTTAAGTTTTTCTGTATGACAGAATTGTGCTTTTTAAAACTTCATGCACCTGTTTTGACAGACAGCTAAATAATAGTTTAAGTTGTCACTAAAATTTACGAACACTTTGGTTCACATGGAATTACTTTCTACCACGCCCTCCCAATTTAACTTCATCTAAGATCTTATGCCTGGCAGTGTCACTGCATGTATAGCTTTTCTTTTAATGTGTATTTTGTGCACATTTGGTCATGTTAAAACTGTCCCATGTTCAGAAAGCCACTTGTGCATAGGAATATGAGCTTTTACCTGAAACAACTGCATGAGGAACTATATTTTGGAATAGTTTTAAAACTTTGACTATTTAATTATTGTTGAAAATCACTTTGAAATTTTATCTTGCACTCAGAACAGTTTATAAGAAATATCAAAGGAAAGGGAAAACAACATTTATGCCAAATGACAGTAGTTGGCAAGTGCACTGAGTGATGGATGTGTTGCCATGATGTATGTATCAGTTAATGATGACTAACAATTAACCACCAAGCAGGTCTGGCAGCATCTGTGGAGAGAGACAATTAACATTGAACACCATGTGCCTTCCCCAGAACTTCATGTCAACACCACACTGCAAAAAAAAAGCCAGCCTGATCAAATCATTTCTCATTGTTTATTATTCAAAATCTATTGGCCCAAGACCATCTTTGTCCTGAGAAGTATCCAGTTTAAGTAAAATGAAGGAAAAATAGGAACACCTGTTGTTAAATCCCTGTAAATATATGCAACACAACCTTGCTATGCTACCTAAGCAGTCACTAGAAACAATTTATCCAATAATGGCAACTACAAAATCAATTGAATTGAAGCTTTCCTGCACCTTGTGATGTGAGGCATACAAAGTATGCTTGACTGTTTGTGGCTACTTTTCTTACTGGAACAGGTCACCAGCCTGTCACGAGAGACTATAGCTTGAGGTGTGCCATTTGTATCAAGTTAATCCACATGTGGGCTCATTGCAAATGCATCTTGTTGCGATGTGAGTCTAGGAGTGATATTCAGTTGAAATTTCTCGCTTAGAAACAAGGATGCTACCTAATACAACATAAAACCTTCTTCAGTGAACCAATAAATTTTAAATTTTGTTGGATATTTGTGAGAATGAGGAAAATGTTTAACAACTTAGTTTGCTCCGAACAGTAATCTAACTTTTCTGAATCTGCTCAGCTAGAGATTGAATGTACCTTAATAGCTAGGATATTGAAGGATTTAGGCTACAGAGGTATGTTAACTCCCAAATTTCATCCCCTTATTTAAAAACTCAAGCACCTGAACAGCCAAGATCTGAATTATTTCTTGGAGTAATTTCATGTAGAAGTATGTTCTGTAACTTAATGCTATACTATTTGTGATATGATTCTCAAATGTAACATTAGAAATTAATGCAGAACATTAAAGCCCCATCTGCTTAAATGATTAAGTTGTTTTATTTTGTAATCTTTACATCTTTTGTAAACATCAACTAAAGAGGTATTAAAAAACTCCAACTTTTACAGTATTGGAGAAGTAGGTTTGAATGCTTGATTTTCATTATTTATAGCTATTCTAGTAAAGATGGTTCTCAGACACCTGGTATGTTTGATTCCCTTGATGGCAAGTCTTTGAATTTTGTAACCAGCTGTGATTAGCTAGAAAGTATCATTAGACCACTAACCCAGTACAGATGGTTCTATTTAAGAACAAGTCTGGTAGCTATTAAATGAGAACACCACCCTTGCAACACTAGTGTGCCATAGTGAAAACTACACAGCTATCCTGGTTTTGGCAGGTATGATAGTCCATACTGTACTGTATTCTGTGCTTGGTTGAAAATTCAGTCTAAAACATTTTCAAACATATCAAATGCAACTATTGGTTTGCAATTGGGTATGTGAAGGTAATTCAATACAACAAATTCTATTTGCCACATTCCCTAATCCTGATCAGATTTTTCCACAACCGCAATTCATTTTTCAGATGTATTTTTGCTAAGAATGTTTGTAAAACTTTCACTTTGTTCATGTAACGTTCTATTAGAAGGATTCTTCAACTACTGTATTTCCAGAAAATGCTGTAATATTTTGTAAAGAAATGTTAAAATCATGTTTTTGGATGGCTCAAAATATAATGTCTATCTTCACAAATGTGCATCATTTTCTGTATGAGACTGGGTAAAAAGTACTTGGATTATATAGTGCCTTTTACCTCAGGATATCCAAAGGCATTTTACAGTCAGTCAAATACTGAAGTCTAGTCACTGTAGGAATAACAGCTGCAATCTCTCAATTATACTTCCATTAAATCAATAAAAATTGACACCACAAATGCTGGCAAATTTATTTTTGAAAGTTATAACCAAGGTGCAGGAATAGAGAAGGAAACAGTGTGTGGGGGTCACAATTCAGCTAGATAAATGGAAAATAGACATTTATGCAATACTGATGACAATACAGTTGAAGAACCACCAGTAAACTCACTGTGGCAAGGGTCCATTTAGTTGTTTTTAAAACATTGCCAGCTAATTGAGTTTATTGAACAAATACAGCAATCAAAATAAGTTTAACCTTACTAAATAGGACCATAATTGACTGACCATTTATAGGCCCCTACATCTACTAAAGACAGAAATAACTCATTTTGAAGTTCCATTTTGGAAATGATATGTTTCAGATTTTATTTAACGAAACAAGATGAAAAACAACAATTTTACTTCAGTTTTAAAACTGAAGGATCAATGCTTAGCATTATATCTGGAAAGTGACATTGGGAGGTCTAATTTTGACTTGGTTATATGGTTAATAAGGCCTTTCCAAACCTCCTCAGGTTGCATTTCAAAAATTATGGAAATTAATTCCATACAACAGCTCAAGTACCAAACAAAAAAGTGTTTGATTTTCTTTAAAGGTGTAATGCTACTGTCTTATCTTCAAGAGCTTATAAATATTAAGCTACTGTATCATTCCCTGTTGTTCAGTTACTTTTCCATGGATTTTTCTCAATTGATAGGGAATTTGCACAAATCTTAAAATTTGGCATAGATTTTATTGTACACAGTTCTAAAGCACAGCTTGAGTAGGGCAACGCCCCTTGAAACACAACAAAGTCACAAACATAAATGAAACTCGAGTGTTTCTGCAGCAGCAACTGAGTAATTTTCTTGGTTTCCAACAAGAGGTTTTCTTTGAACAATTACAATAATTTCATGTCCAGCCTCTCAAACCACACCCAAGCGTCTTCTCCACCACCTTAACTGGCAGAATGTCTTTATGAAGTGAAAGGAATTTCCTTGTCTATCAGACAGTCCGAATCCATTCCATTTCACAGTTTTTGGTACACGAAACTGCCAGTTTATTAGGATTGATTGTAGGTTGAATTTTGACTGCCATTGGGTCCCTGCTCTCCTTCACTGTTAGAAGGAAGAAAATAAATTAGAGTTAGAGCAAAAGTAAAATACCCAAAAAGATTGCAAAGATTATGACAACATTTTGAAAGCCATTTCTCTATTTTGTGCCCTTGTCAATGGTCAAAACAATCACGTGACCCAATTAACCACCTTTATATCTGCCGTGTACCCAAGTGATATTGGCAATTTCCCTCTGTTTTGTGATGAAATATCCAGCTGGGAAGCAGGAGAATCAAAACAGCGTATTTTGAAAGCTTAGTTCCAGCGTACAACAAAAATTCAAAAACAGCTCATTGTAGAACAATCTTCCCCAAGCATTTGTTTTCATAGAAAGTCACCTTATATTTAAAACAGCCTTATATCAATATATTCATGGGCCAAAGGGCCTCCTGTGTTTTGTATGGTGTACCTGTTTGGAGGTGGTTTTGGTTTTGGCATCTTGTTGAGTATTGCAGCCATTTCTTTTCGATCATCAAAATTCTTCCAAAGATCATATAGCTTTAGAATGACTCTGATTATCTCCAGGATCTGCCCACACAACAGCCAGAATGTTAAAAATTATTATAAACCAAAAGTATGTCTTGTCATAAATATTACTCTGGTTATAAATAGAAGGACATTTTTAAAAAGAGCTGGTGTTACTGGAATTCCAAAGCTAAGAGTCGAGGAAACAAAAATAAATAATACAGCAATTAAAAATCAGGGATCCTAAAGCAGTGCTTCCTAACCTTACTCCTTTTGTGACTCCATTTTAATGCCACTATAAAGTGGCAGGGACAGAGTTGAGAGCACTGGGCTGGTCTTGGGGTAAGAAAAACTTATTATTACAGGGCTGCGGTTGTAGCAACAATCAGGCCTCAGTATATAGGAGCACAGCATAAGTAGAAGAATAGGTAATTCAGCCCCTCAAGCCTGCTCCGCCATTCAATACGATAAGGGCTGATCTCATCTGTTTCAACTCCACTTTCCTGCATACTCTTTGTAACTCTTCAACCCATTATTAAATTGAAAATCTGTTTATCTTCTCCTTAAATTTATTCAATGTCCCAGCATCCATCGCCCTCTGGCATAGAGATTCCACATCTTCACAATCTTTTGAGAGAAGTAATTTCTCCTGATCTGTTTACATTTTACCCCAAAGCTATAATTCTCATTCTAGACTGCCCCAAGAGGAAATGTCCTTACTACGTCTACTTTGTTAATTCCCTTTACAATCATTTATAACTCAATTTGATATTCTTTCACTTCTTTAAAACTCTAACTAGTATAGGCCTAAACTGCTCAATCTCTCTTCAGAAGACAAACCCCTCATCTCTGGAATTAACCTAGTAAACCTCTTCAAACTGCCTCTAGTGCAACTACATCCCTCAAGTGAGGAAACCAAAACTGTAAGCAATACTCCAGGTATGGTCTCACTAATGCCTTGCATAGTTGCAGCAACACTTCCCTGCTTTTACACTGTATTCCTTTAGTAACAAATGCCAAAACTCCATTGACTTCCTTATGATCTGCTGTACCTGCAGATTAATTTTCTGCGATTCATGCACAAGAACACCCAGATCCCTCCGCACCAAAGCACTCTGAAGTTTCTGTCCATTTAGATAACAAGGTGCCTTTCTATTTTGACCAAAATTAATAATTTCACACTTATTCACATTAAACTCTATCTGTGAAATTTTGGCCCATTCACCTAACCTAATCCATTTTCTTATTTCTTCACTGCGACTTACTTTCCCACTATTTTTCAGTCATCTGCAAATTTGGCTACAGTACCTTCTACATCTGCATCCAAGTAATCAATAAAGACCGTAAACAGTTGGGGCCCAAGGACCAAACTATGTTGTAGTCCATTAGTTAATCTGGTCAACCAAAAAGAAAAGACCCATTTATCATAACTCTCTGCTTTCTGTTGGTTAACAGATCCTTTATCCAAGCCAATAAATTATCCCTAACCCTATGTGATCTTGCCTTGTGTATTAACCTTTTATGCAGTGTTTTATCAAATGCCTCCTGGAAATCCAAGTATACTATATCTACAGGATCTTCATTGTCCCTATTGCATGTTACATCTTCAAAGAACTCTAACAAATTAGTCAATTACCCTTCATGAAACTGTGCTAGCTCCGACAGATTGAATTTTGTCTTTCCAAATGTCCTGTTTTTACTTCTTAATCATGGATTCTAACACCTGTCATTGGGAAATTTAAACTAACCAGTCTAGTTTCCTACTTTCTGTCTGCCTCCCTCCCTCCTGGTTCGAATAAGGATGTTATACTGGAACTCTTTCAATGCATTGGAACCTTTCCTGCATCCAGGGAGCTTTGGAATATTACAACCAATGGATCCACTATTTTTGCTGCCACATCCTGGAGACCCTAGGGGACTTGCCTGCTTTCAATCCTAATAGTTTGCTCAGTACTATTTCCTCTAGTGATGATTGTTCTAAATTCCTCCATTCCTACAACTTCTGCATTACCTTATATTGGGATGCTACTGTCTTCCACTGTGAAAACTAATGCAAAACATTGATTCAGTGTCTCTACCTTTTCTATGCTTCTCATTATTAACTGCCCAGTCTCATCTTCCAAAGGACCAACATTCACTTTAGCTATTCTTTTTCCTTTCATATACTTATAAGCTTTTGCTATTCCTTTTTATATTCTGGACCAGTTTACTTTTTAGTCTTCCAGTCCAATCCACTAGGGCCAAGTCTATCATCATGCCTGTGTAATTACCTCTGTTTAATTCCAGAACACTAGTGGGGGACTCCAGTTTCTCACCCTCAAACTGAATTTGAAATTCTAGCATGCCATGATCTTTAATTAATTCCACCTCATACACAATACTGAATTCAAAACAGCCTGTTCCCTTCTTGGTTCCACAACATATAGCTCCAGAGAAACAATCTCAATACATTCAATGAACTTTCCTGAGAGCTTACCCTGGCGAGTTTGGATTAATCCAGTCCATTTGCATATTAAAATTACCTATGATTATTGCCATACCATTCTTACAACTTCCCAGTATTTCCTGGTTTATGCTGTGCCCCATCACGGAACTATGGAGTAGTCCTACTAGGGACTTCTTTCCTTTACTATTTCTATTTATACCCAGATGGATTCTATGTCTTAAACAAAAATAGAAGTTGCTGGAAAAGCTCAGGAGGTCTGGCAGCATTTGCAATGAAAGATCAGTTAACATTTTGGGTCCGGTGACCCTTCCTCGGTTTTGATTCTATGTTTTGATCTCTGGTGCCTGTATCATTTCTCTGATATTTTCCTTTACTAACAAAGCCATACCACATCCTTTTCCTTCCTGCCTATCCTTCCAAAATACGGAGTATCCTTTAGATATTCAATTCATCTCAAATCATACCAGTGTATATTTACCTTGTTAGCAGATTAATTTTATTCCAATTCTTTCATGTATTCAGATACAAAGCCTTTAAAAAGTTTGTTCTATAATCAAATTTCCCTTCTCTTATATAATTTCTTGGTGAAATATGACATTCACACATTCTGTGCATTCCTACTATTTTCTGGTAACCATCAGCCTCATCATTATTCAGAATCACAGAATCCCTCCGGTGTGGAAACAGGCCGGAGCACACCGCACCTCTGAAGAGCATCCCACCCAGACCCATTCCCCTACCTCTGCATTTCCCACATCTAATCCACTTAACATAAACATCCCTGGACACTATGGGCAATTTAGCATGGCCAATCCACCTACCCTGCACACCTTTGGACTGTGGGAGGAAACCCACGCAGACACGGGGGGAATGTGCAAACTCCACACAGACCGTCACCAGAGGGTGGAATCGAACCCAGGTCCCTGGTGCTGTGAGCCACCGTCTCACTGTTCCTACCTTCTCCTCAGGAGCAGATCAATATAAATTATGCCCGCTGACAGAAAAAAAACAAAACATTTATGAAGGCCTCACAGCCATCAAAACCCATGTCTGCCACTGCTGCCTCAAATTTCGCAGTACCAAACTCCCATCCTAGGACCTCAGCCTATGACCAACAGTTTGGGAATTCCAGGATTTAGAGGGTTTTAGGGAGTGAGATAAGTACATATATAGGCTATGCAAGAATTTTTAAGCAAGCTCAAGAGTTTCAAAATCAAGACCAGCATGACATTCATCCCAATAGTCGAGAATAGAATCAGAATCATACAGCACAGAAACAGACTGTTCGGTCCAACTAGTACATGCCAAACATAATCCCAAGTTGAATTAGTCCCACCTGCCTGCTCCTGGTCCATTAGACTTCTGAGGAAGGGTCAATGGACCCAAAACATTAACTCTGATTTTTTTCTCCACAGATGCTGCCAGACCTGCTGAGCTTTTCCAGCAACTTCTGTTTTTGTTCCTGATTTACAGCATCCACAGTTCTTTCATTTTTTATTTGGTTAATTTTATCATTGCTGTACACAAGATCTTTCTGTGTAGGTTGTGTGGAAGTTGGCAGCTGGGTTTCTTTATAACCGGTGCCACGTTTAAAGACAAACATCATTGATTCGAGTGCTTTGGGACATCTTGGGAACAACAATAAGTGCTATTGGAATGCAAGTGTTTTCTTTAGCATAGTGATTCCATGAAAAATTGATTGCAATTACAAACTTAGAGACGGCTTCATTGAAATCTATGGTCTTCAGGCACTGAAATCCCTTATAAACAGCAAATGTATACGTTATTATCAGAGACAATATGATCTCTGAAATATAACTTCAGAAGAGAAAACCACAGATATAGCAACAGGACTAAGTCATTCAGCCCCTCAAGCCTGTTCAACTATTACATTAGTTCCTGGCAGATTTATACCTGTCCCAGTTTCATAACTCTTAACACACAGGAACTCAAAATTGTTGCAAGAGTAGGCCATCCAATATGGTTGATCTTCTATCTCACCACCATACTCCCACATCATTCTCCCTTTTGTGTCTAAAAATGTATTTCTTTCTCCACCACCTTATATGGTCGAGAATTCCACAGGTCAGCACTTTGAGCAAAGAAATTTCTCACCTCAATCCTAAATGCTCCATCCTGTATCCCAAAACTATGACCCTTTGTCACGAGCCTTCACCAACGCCCCCCCCATATCAGTCACTGAGAACATTTCATGTGCCTGATGTGCTCATTTACTTAATTTAACAAGGTCCCTTTGCAACTATCTGCTCCAAACGGTCACCTGTCTTAGTATGATTAGCACCTCAGACATACAACTCATTTTCCTTCATTCAAATCATTTGTTTCATTTTCCGTGAAGACTGACTCAAAGTCTTCATTCTCTAAATGCCACTTCCTGATTTCCAAGGTCAGTAACATTTGTATCTGTTTAGGTGGCAGAAATTACAGTTAAAAAAAGGCTAAGAAGAATGTATTCCTAAAAACCTGTGTCATTTTTGGCATTTCTAGTAAGCTTGTTCTCCTATTCCTTATTACCACATATTTCACATCCCTTTGGTGTTGTTTATATTTCTCCCAGTCCTCTTCTTTGCCTTCATATAAATTTTATATAATCTCACTTCCCTTGCAGACCAAAATCAGAGGTTTTCACCATCAGGAATATGTACATATATTGCATCTTATATTCTGAATACTTTGGAGTAATTGTTCATCCATAATTTTAATCAGTTAATAGTACCGTAGGTACTTAAAATTCAAGAGATGAACATGCAGCTCAAAACTGGTGTGTAAGTAGTAAGTTTCACAAACTGAAACCATCTACACCTGCATGTTGCTGGATCCAGCGTTCTTGCAAAATACTTAACTAGAGAAATAGGAAGGGTTTTAAACTAAATTGTGGGGGTAAAAATCAAGTATTGGGTGACATGGTAAATCAGAGAGTACAGAGAAGGTGAGAGAGGAAAATAGTGAAATGACCGTCAGAGAATTGCAGGAAGGGACAACATCCACTAATGGGAGTAATCTGCAGGCCCCCAAATTCTAATCACAATGTAGAAGTATACAAATCGTAATACAGGGGATGCTGTGGTGCATTAGTAATATTGCTAGACTAGTAACCCAGAGGCCCCAAACTAATGTTTTCACACCTTAGTTCTGTTTAGGAGGCTCTTGTGGTGCAGTGGCAGTGTCCCAGCTTCAAGTTCCACCTGTTCAAGAAGTGTGTCATAACATGTCTGGATAGATGGATTTAAAAAAAAACTACAAAAGAAATATTGGATGCATGGAATAAATCATGGGTGACTTTAAACTACATATAACCTGGAAAAATTAGATTGGCAGTAGTGGCCTGAAAGAGGAGTATGTAGAATGCTTTTGAGATGGTTTCTTAGAGCAGCATTTTCTGGAACTATTCAGACAGCAGGTTATAATCACACTTTACAGAATTAACACAAAATAACAGAAGTGATGAATAATCTCAGATCGAAGGCATCGCTGGGTAGCTGTGACCATAATATGATTGAATTTTACACCGAGTTTGAAAAAGGGAGAAGTTTAGGTCCAAGGCTAGTATCTTAAACTTAAATAAGGGCAACTGCACGGGCATGAACGTTGAACTTGCTGACATGAATTAGTGTGCTAGGCTAGGGCATAGATCAATAGACACATGGTGGCAAACAAAGATGTCTTAGAGTATTCAGAATAAATACATTCCTACTATAAAGTGAAGTAACTCCAGAGGCTGGTATCCCATCACCAAGTCACCCTTTACTTAGATGTGGAGAGTCCTTGACACTAATCCAGCTCCCTCAGAGCTAGCTCTCAGTGTGAACAGAACTTCTGGGGCTGTTAATCTGGTCCAATCAGGGAACTCATTCCATTTGATTCACCTGGCTGACCTCGTTACAATCACAATAATGATTTTTAAGCTGAAGTAAGAAAGATTTAAAAAAGATACGAGGGACAATTCTAAAAAAAAAACCCAGTGATTTGTGTATGGAATTAACTTTCAGAGAAAGTGGTGGGTGCCGGTACAGTTACAGCATTTAAAAGACATTTAGATAAATGAATGAATCAGAAATGTTTGGAGGGAAAGGGCCAAGTGCAGGCAGGTGGGATTATGGTTAGCATGGTCTGGTTGGAACAAAAGGTCTGTTTCCATGCTGTATGACTCTAACTCCAAGCTGGACAGAATCAAGGCAGAGACACATCTGATAAATATGGTAGTCAAGGATAGCCTTGCTGTCCACAAACTTTCACAAATTACAGGTAGATGCTTCTTCTCTCAGAAATAAACTCTTGATGTTTTGTGAGCAATGCAAAGAATACTTAGCAACCTGAAAACAAAAAAAATGAAAATGTACAAATTGCAATAACTGCAGAACATGGGAGGATAAAAACAGAATTAGCAGTGAATGCAACAAGAAAATTTGAGAAGTTTGTAGTACACAACTAAGCTAAGGAAAATTTTATTTCTGTTCAATTTCTATAACATATGCTGTTGTTCGAGGGAAAGTACTTTTATTCTACTTTTTAACTGACCAGTGGTGGAAGTCTTCATGTGCAAGTGTCGTGAAAGATTAAACAACTGGTGTAATAACGCAAGCTTATCAAGTAAAAAAAAGGTCAAAATTTCATTAATATTTGGTTGTGTTTCATCTTTTAAAAATTGGAAAACTCGAAGACAAAATACACAATCAATTTGATTGCTGCATAATTGCATCACCTTCTCCATATCCACTGAGAGTTCAGCAAACCACTGACGTGCATCTTTTTGCTGGACCACACATGCTACATGCAAACAGGCTGTAAAGGGAAATGAAACACGTTCAATTTACTACTTGTTTAATTTTTACAAATCATCACTTTAGAGGCTTCCCTATCTATAACAAATGCATAGATAAAACTGTGTGCTTGCGACATTTCCACATAAAATCTAACACTAATCTCAGGTGTTATTCACATGTCCAGTTAAATGGCATTAACCTATCCAAAGCTAACTTAAAAAGATGTGTACAAATGTGATTGCCTAACTGATAAATTCTCTTGCCTAACACTAAGCAAACAAAGACAGCATGGTTATTACATGGGCTCAGAAATGAGACTTGATCTATCTGTCTGAAAAAGGTGAAAGTGGAGGTTGGCATTAACTATATTCAAGGCGAGTTAGATATATATTTGATCAACAGGAATGTCAAAGGTTATGGAGAATAGACAAGAAAATGGTGTTAAGGTTCCAATCACTTTAGCCATGATCTTACCAAATGGAAAAACAAACTTCATGATAGGCTGAATGGTCTACCGCTGCTCCTATTTAATATGATCTTACTACAACGATCCTTATACTTCACAAACTACATTCTGGAATATATAGAATATTAAGTCACAGATAAGTACTGCCACCTTTTAAACACAAAAAATTGTAAGAAATTGGCAGGTACCCAGGTTAATGATATTTTAGATCAAGTGGGTAGGCAGCCTAGTTGCTTATTCTACTAAGTATTATCTTCTTTATTAACTTAGAGAGTCAAAATATTTGAAAAGGGAATCCAGCAGTGAAACAGAGGTTCCATTCATAAGGCACCTCTAAAAACTTTATTTGGTAATTTCTATGGTGGTAGAATCTTGGTGTCAAAACGTCTATAGTTCAGTCCAACCCTCACACCCAGGAGAAATGTCAGAGGTGAAAATGTTTCGAAAGCCTTTTTCTTCTTCAAGTCCTCTAAACTTTGACTTTTAGAAATTAAAAGTTGAAACTTGGCAAAAGTGAGGTCTGACGAGTAGTTACTTAATTTGAAACCAACATATTCTAGAGATAGTCAGATTCAAAAATCTATTCAATGTGTTTAAAAAAACTATTTATTATGTTTGGTGCCAGCAAAGTGGAAATTATAAATACGGCTCATAGATGTAGCAGTAAGCTTGCACACCACATTCTCCACTTTAGCAGTTTAAGTACTTTGGTTTGGTACAAATAACTCAAACGTTCAGACCCCAGCATAATTTTGTCCTTCAAAATAAATCATGTTCCTTATGTTAACACCAATGTCAAGATTCCTATTCAAAATTAGCTTCCAAATATATTAACAATTGAGCTGCAAATTAACAATAAATATTAAAACCGTTTATCATGGAAAACTGACAAAACGTATGAATTCTAGTTGAAAATACCAATTCAGAAATCACTGAAATGATCAATTTTGACAGACAGAATGATGATACCCAACAAACTTTATGTCAAGTCCAGTGACTACATACTCACCCAAGGCTATCATGAACGGAGGATACATGAGGCATAGGTCTGTTCTGTAGGTGTCATTCACTATCCTCCTGTGCAGATTAAGGCATGTTGTTTTAAAAAGGTATTTTTCTATATGTAATTACAAATATTGCTAACTGATCTGTCTTATAAGCTAAGCAATGCTACTTTCAATTAGCCTTATTGCCAGAACCCAAAAATCTCATTGAAGGTAGTATATCTGTACCTAAATACCAGTCAATTTCTGGCATCTGTGTTCCTGCAAGTAGCAGGTGTAAAGAAAATTATGTTTCATTTATTTTGGCTCAGTTGCTAGTAGTCTCACCTCCAGGACAGGCCCACATAATCTAGGGTGACACTTCAGTGCAGTACTGAGGGAGTGCTGCATTGTTACAGATGCCATCTTTCAGACGAGGCTCTGTCTGTCTGTTCAGGTGGTCGAAAAAGATCCCATGGCACTTTTCCGAAGAGGAGCAGGGGATTTTCCCAGTGTCCTGCCGAACAGCCAACACCACCAAATCAGATTAATTGGTCACTTATCTTACTACTGTGTGCAAATTGGCTGCCACAAATTCACACAAAACAGTGACTGCACTTCAAATGTTATTCACTGGTTGTGAAGCACGTTGGGATATTTTGAGGCCATGGAAGGTGCTAAATCAATGCAAATTCTTTCTCCTTTACCCTTTACTATGTTCTAGTAGATATGCTCATTAAGTGTAGGCAGATTGTTAAGAATGGACAAAGAACAATTCATTAACATGAAGTTGTATGTTGCATATTTGAAGTGAAAAAAGTCTAACAGATGCAGCTGCAACTGCCATTCTCCTGTTTGAACTGTACTGATTGATAACAACTCTATTCTTCACAGTTATTAATATTACTGCTTCACATCAAAATAATCCTGCAATTAACAACCAATGTGATAAGGTACTAAACAAATGCAAATTTTCTTTCTGGGCATTTTGTCAGAAGAGAAAAGAACCAAACCATAATCCCAAACATTTGTAAACATAGAAGTATGAAATGAAATCAGTAATGTTTACTAAGTAAAACCATATGGTAAACTGAAACTCCTTTGATCCCTTACTAGGACAGGCATGTAACAAGGCTATTGATCATTAGAAAATCTTACCATGCTAATGGCAGCAGCATGTCTTCTTGTCCCATATCTTGTACATACTGTAGCAATGGTCTATATGGATGGTATACTATTAAACAGCAATCCTATTATAGAATATAAAGCAGTTTCAGAAGAAAGTCAAAACTGGATGGTGTGGTAGGTTAGCAAAATATCTTTGCATGTCTGGGATCAGAGCTTGAATCCATGCCAAACCGAGGAGACTGAAGTCTCTCATGTTTATAGCTGTATGGGTGATATTTGAAATATATTTGGTAATCTTATAATCAGCCCAAAATGGCAGTACAAAACAAATAACACAGAAGTCTCACTCAGAGATCATAGGATGATAATGTCACACTGTTGGTGAGTTTGGTGATGCGAAACACTGATACAGCAAAGGGGAGGTTATTCTACATCTACAACTGACTTGGGGTGTTTGGTATTAAATATGGGTCCTTCAAACAGGATGTCGTTTTCTGCTTTCCAGACCTAACATCCCTTACAAATATAAAAAAAATCCAAAGTACTCACCATTAACTCTAACAAATAAAATTCACATTCCAATATCTGTAAAATATTAAATAAAAGCTTCCAATCAGTAGAAGTACCTTTGCAAAGTTAGAAATAGTTTTGTTTATATTTATTCATTCTATAAATGGATGTTTTAAACACCTTCATGACTGCCACCTATCTGTAGGTAAATCATTTTTTTGCAGCAGAAAGCAGTTATTCGTTAGGTAACGGTGAACACTGAAAAGCCACTGATTAGAAATTATTTCACTCTGTTTATCAAGTGCCTATTTCTGAAGCAGTGATAACAGGGATAGGTGAGAAATTCACACCGACAAGCATGGCACAGGAACATTTGTTTAGGAACAAGACTGACAAGTCTGAGGGCAGGCATTTCACCAGCTCTCATTGGAGGAATTGTACACATCAAAAAGAATGGAAAGAAAATAGAAAAACAAAATATTTTAATTTATGAATTGTCTTCAATTGAAGAATTATTTTGGCAATGACAAACTGAACAAATCAAACCCTACGCACCAAGTGGCAAGACAGAATAAAAATACGCCTTCCTACTAGATGTAATAGAAGTTTTCAATAATTCTATTAGCCAGAGTAATGCACCATACTGGCTGGAGGTTAAGATATTAATCTCACTCACAATGCTTACACTAACGTAGTACTTATCACTGTATAACGTCCTAAAGTACACAGACTTTGGCGCAGTGCCACATGTTAGGGCATGGAGGGGGAGGTGGTGGTATTGTCACTGAACAAATAATCCAGAGCCTTAGGCCAGTGCCCTGGTGACATGGGTTCATGTCCCGCCATGGCAGACGGTGAAATTTGAAGTTAACTAAACCTGGAATTAAAAAAGCTAGTCTAATGGCAACCATGTAACCACTGTCGTTTGTCATAAAAACCCATGGAGTTCACTAATATCCTTGGGGGAAGGAAATTTGCCATTCTTATCGGATCTAATGCACATTATTTCAAATCCACAGAAATGCGGCTGACTCTTAACAGCCCTCTAAAATGGCAGAAAGAGCCAACCAGCTCAAGGATAATTAGGGACGGGCATTGAGGCTGTTGCAATAATTAAAAAAGGCTGTAGTTTTGACAAGTATCTTATAAAGAGATAAGGGTACAGAGGCTGAGGGGTTTAATGTCAAAATTCCAAAGCTTACAGTTTGAAAGCACTACTGCCAATGGTGCAGCAATTAATATTCATGCAATTTTTAATTTTATATTTAATATTTTAAATTAAAATAGAAAAGGCTGAAAATTCTCAGCAGATTAGACAGCATCCATAGAAAGTTAACAATATAGGTTGATGATCTGATAAATAATCGATCTGAAACGTTGACTCCTTTTTCTATCCACAGATGCCAAGTATTTTCAGCCATTTCAGTTTTTACATTAGATTGTCAGCATCCACATTAATTTGCTTTTGTAACATTTTGAACTACGTTCAGTACATTACTTCTTTTAGTTTCTTTTGACTCTTATAGCTGCTTATAGTAGAAAGATTAACAGTTATTTCATTCCCTTTAATGATGTTTCTGGCACTCAAGATATTTTAATGCAAAATATTGAGGATACTACAAAGCTGAAGTAACAGAATGCTGGAAATATTCAGGTCTGGCAGTTTCTGTGGAAAGAGAAACAGTGTTAACATTTCAGGTTGTATAACTTTAATCACATCTGGAAAATATTTGAGATGCACCAGCTTTGAAGTTAATATTGAGGCAGGAAGGAAATAACAAATGGAAATGTCTGTGATAGGGTGCAGAACTGATGTGGTACAAGGAAAACAATGCAAGACATAAGCAAAATGGCAATAGGACTACTTCTGACTAGTGAGTAGGCAAAATTTGGCAGATGGAATGTGATCAGGGAAAATGTGAGGTTATGCATTGCCAGAAAGAATAGAGGAGCTAAATACTATTTAAAATGGAGAAAGACAGCAGAAAGCTACACAACAGATGGATTTGAGAATCTTTAATCCATGAATCACAATACACTTGCATCTAGGTTCAGAAAGTAGTAAAGAAGGCAAATTGAATGTTGGTCTTATTTCAAAAAAGGAGTGGAGTATAAATGTATGGATGCTTTGCAAAAACTACAAGGCACCAATCATAGCTAGAGTATCTTAAGCAGTTTTGGGCCCCTTATCTAAGGCAAGATATACTGCATTGGAAGCAGCCCAGAGAAGATCCACTGAGCTGATATCAGGGTACAGAAGGACTGACTTATGTTGAAAACGTTGAATAGGTTGGACCTGTACTCATTGGGAACAAGAATAATAAGAGATGGCCTTACTGAAACATACAAAGATTCTTTGGGGAATTGACAATCCTGATATGGAAAGGTTGTTTTCCCTTGTAGAAGAGTTAGGACCAAAAAGGCATAATCTCAGAAGAAAGGGGCTGCTCATTTAAGACTGAAATGAGAGGGTTGTTAAATCTTTGGAATTCTCTTCACAGGAAGCATTGGAGGTTGGATCATTGAATATATTCGAGGAGGAGTTAGACAGACTTTTCACATACGAGAGTCAAGGGATTTGGAGGGCTGGCAGGAAAAGTGGAGTTAAGGCCACAGTCATATAAGCCATGCACTTATTGAATGGCAGAGCAGGCTCAATAGGCCATTCCCTTTCATCTGGTGACAAAGGGTATAACCAGACAGAAGGACCGAATCAGAGGACAGCAAAAAGTAAGCAGGATTGAGGGGTGCAGGTATCCAAGAGTTGTTGAAATTTATAATCCATGATGTCTGAAAAGATTGAATGAAAGTTTTCTTTTAAAAAAGGCACCAGATGAAAGGGAATGGCAGACCTGTACAACTTCAGAAATAGATTGAATCAATGTTGCCAAGAAGAGCTAGAAATTTTCGCCTTGCATTTTGGAAAACTGTTAAAAATAAAGCAGTTTTATTTCACAACCAACTAAAATCAAAGAAAAATAAGCAATATTCATTCTGGTTTTCCTTAAAAAGCAAAACAAAAGTTAAACTTTAAAGACACAATTTAGAATCTCAAATTAAGCTGGACAATATAATCAAGATGCAGTGCTAAAAGTAGAGAAGACTGAATACTAAAGTGTCTGTTGATTCAACATCTGTGAAATAACAGCATTTCACTTCTTTATAATAGTGTCTCAGATAAAAATTCATGATTTTAACAAACATGTCTGAAATATGCAAAAAGATGCCCAACCTCAAATTCTCCATCCTATTAATATTATTAATTCCATTTGCTGTACTGTGAAGCATGAATGGCATGTGACAAGCTCTTACAATATTGTGGACATGTTAAAACCCCACCCAAAATTAATCACCATTTCAACAGTCAGCCCCAATTCAAAGTGACAACGGATAAAGAAAAGCTTTGACAAGATCGGTATCATTGAGCTAGTATCACAGAATGAAAAAGATTACAGTGAGCAATTACAAACTATTAAAAAAAGAAATAAACTTTGCTACTTACATGGTTCATTCTGTAAGGGAATTCCTTAGGAAATGCATAAGAAAACCTGGTTTTTACTATGTTGTAAAAGAAAAGTGATAAATTTAAAATTAACAAAAAAAAAAGACCAACAGGTTTATATATACTCTATGCGGCAGATATGTTCTCAATTCTCTCTCTATTCACAAATGACAATGTTTGAAAGAAGGGTTAACCAGGAAATCAATTTTTTCCACCCTATGGGATCCAATAACATGAAATTATGCTTTCCAGAAAACATAAAGCCTTTAGCATCCCTTGCACTATTTTCCCCTCACTGTAGCACTTGAAATTTAACAGCTTACTTCACTGGGCCACAGCTGACATGCTAAGGCTTCAAATATTCATATTATGCAAATAACTAACATTAACAAGCCAAATTAAGAACAAACATGCGTCACAAAGAATTGAAATTTAGTGTACGTACATGTTTAAAAACAATTTCCAAAATAATAGCTATAGCTATTTTACCACTTACGACTAACAGTTTAAAAATGCACAAAGCTTGTTATATGCTCTCAACATGGCTGGCTTCAAAAGTTGTCAATGAAGATAAATGTCCATACACTAGCTGATTCAAGTTGATGCACAAACCAATATGCCAAAGACCTTCTAAATAAATACACAAAGCAAACTTCCACAAAAGCTGAAAGGCTGCAACATCATACATTATATCCTTGTCTGCTTTGATACATGTTACAAATACAGTGATGACAATGTGCAGTGTTACAGAAAAGAATTTGAAATTCCATTTTTGAGGTGAATATTTATTAGGAAATTGATAACTATCATATACAAATTGAACAAAAACATAACTGAAATCACTAATCACTACATTTATTCCACTTAAGAAGTCTCCAGCGCACATTTGTGATTAGTGTTCACAAGTTATGCGATTCTTTCACATGCAACAAAACTGACTCTAACCAAGAATTTATACACAATGCAGGAACAGAAGAAGGCCATTTAGCCCCTCAAGACTCATTCAATGATCTGCAACCCAACTCCTTAAATCCATCTTGTCCCATATCCCTCAGTAGCTTTGGTTAACAAAAATCTGTCAATCAGAACATTAAATGTCACCATTGATCGAGCATGAACTATTATTTGTAGAAAAGCTCCAAATTCCTACTTTTGTATATAGGTGTTTCATAACTTAAGTGTAATTTTTAGGTTGCGCATTTTGTGCCTAGACTCCCAGTGGAAGCAGTTTCTCTCCAGCTACCTTAATTTTTTTTCCCCCTCAATTTTCAAGTAATTAAAATCAAATAACTCAACTTCCAAATTCCAGGAAGTACAACCCTTGTCTACCAAATACCTCCAACTATTTCCAGGAGTCCTGGTGTCATTTTGCACCCTCTAAGACCCAAATATCCTTCCTAAAGGTTTGGCACACCAAACCACTGTCAATAGTCTGATACAGTAAAACAGGGGCTCTGTATAGTTGAAGCATGACTTGTACTCCGCTGTATTCTTGTCCTCTAGGTACAAAGGCCTATCTTCATTTGGCCTTTCTGATTAAATTCTATTTCTGTTCATAACATTTTACGGATCCACATACACGGATCCACAAGACTCTGAATCTTCAGTGTACAGCTTTTCACCATTTAGAAAATGCCCTTTTTCTTTTTAGACCTAAAGTGGTTGTCCTCACATCCATCTACACTGAAATACATTTCACATAGAATAAGTGCATGGACAACAACTATGTTTTGCAAATCTCCTATTAACTGTATAATGATGAAATCAAAACTTTTAGCTCTGAAACGTATTTAAAAAACCTTTGTACTCACACACGGAAGTTGAAGCTGAAATTAAACGTGTGTTTGAGACAACACCAAATTCCTAAAAAGATAAAAGACAGTTTAAAATAATTTTAAAACAGCAATAAATTTAATTGTTTCAGAGATAGTAGGAACTGCAGATGCTGGAGAATATGAGATAACAAGGTGTAGAGCTGGATGAACACAGCAGGCCAAGCAGCATCAGAGGAGCAGGAAGGCTGACGTTTCAGGTCCACATTCCATACTTCAACAATTAGAGTTACAAACATACAGGCTAAACATTCCAAAGTGTTCAATAATTGAAATAATCAGTAATTTGAACAGCATAAATTTACAGAACATGAATAACCAACCAATTCTTCCTCTATAACAGAAACTCCCTATATTTATCAGTGGTAGCTACAGCTCAGTGCAAGAATATTCTGTTATATATAGAAAATGGCTCAATATTTGCAGTAAATCAGGCATGTTAATCTTTTACAGTGAATGCCAAATGCCAAAGAACATTATAATCAGGTATTCTCTGTTGTTTCCAGAAAAGAAATCCTAAAAAAAGGTACAAGAACACAAATCAATAAACCACTAAACCATGCAATCTATTTTAATGAAACACAAGTTCTGCTTGTTCATCTTTCTAGACTTCTCGTAATCTTCCAAAGCAGAAAATCAATAGAACCTTTGATAAAATTCCAGAATATCTTTTTACGATTCTCAAAGTAAATTCCATTTCAAACAAACAAAATCAGAGATACACCTACTTGCAATGACTCTATTTATTAACATAACTTATCATTCAACATTGGCAATCCATGATGTAACTAGCATCTGGCACTAAATTAGAACTAGCTGTCAAGAATCCTTTTAGGTTTTGGTGTGTTGTCTGCAGTACTTTTGATTCTTATCTCTTGTCCTTTTTCCCCAGAGTTCAAATAATATTGTCGAAAATGTCACTTTACAACATCAAATATTTTTAGGGACCCTTCAGGTCACTTGTCCTATAAAAAGGACTAGAATCACTACCCAAAACCACAAACAGAATGTAGTAACTGTACCGCAAGATACAGAGTTATTGGAAAACACTTCAGTGTTGTCTCAAAGTTAAAGCCTATACAAATTAGTGCTTTATAGTTATTTTTGGGTTAAGTATTCCCTCATGAATTTTCTAAAAAAATTGTACATTTAATCTGTTGGAACAATACCATACCTCAAAACTAGTACTTGAGGTGATGAGGTTCTATTATTTGAGTGTCTATAATCAGAAACTGGACTATCAATAAATTATTATTTGAAAATACCTCTACTTTTGATGCTAAAAATACACAAGTTGGAGCCATCAGTACTGGATCTATACTTTTCAGCGAGTATCTGAAATGATAAGAAGGTTACAAAAACAGCTTATTCATTAATGCAAAAATATTTGCTCCAAGTAATAATGGACAATTCAACTTTCCATTGATAAACCCATATATATCAATGTAACATACTGCATCCAATTCTGGGCACCTGATTTTAGGAAGCACAAAAGGCTTTGAGAAGGTGCAGGAGAGACTTTCAAGAACTATTTCAGGGATGAGGAATTACACTTACACAAAAGTAGTGTAGAAGCTAGGGGTCTCACCTTACAGGAGGAAATTTGATAGAGGTGTTAAAAATCATAAAAGGGCTTAAATGGAAGTAATGAGTAACTGTTACTAATGACTGAAGAATCAATAACTAGAGAGCACAAATTAAGGTGGTGATTAAGAAATAATCAGAGGTGACACAAGGAAAACCCTTTCGTAAAATGTAACGAGAGGTGAGGAATGTGCGGAGGCAAAGTTAAAGGTACTGGAAGGAACGCAGAAGACTCTAAAAAGTCAACTTCCACACAGCAGTTTCCCTACCTGCATTTGGTTTCCGAGCATAGAAGAAAATTCACTGAGTGACAAATAATAAATTAACAGTATGAGTGAATCAGGAGTATTTAGAGTCCTTGAGGAGAGGCACTGATTTGTTGGCAAGTGGACTTTGTTTAGTAGAGGCATTGCTATGCAGAACTGTTTTCAATGCCACTCTTGATGAATTCTCCTCAATGTTGGTGCATTCTTCTGGACACTGCTTCTACCAATCAGAATCCACTCGCTAACCGATCAGCATACTTGTATAATACAGTATTAAAAACTTCTGTAATTAACATTTTCTCAAGCTCTTCCACTGAGATGGGACATAAAGTTATGGCCAGCTTCCCCATAATTTGCCGTGCTAACAGGCTTCTGTTATGTTTGTAGAATAACAGAGTCTATCTGAACCTTGATTTTTTTTTGATAGCCCATCATTTCTGTGCTCCAGTGTTCTTTTTATTTTGTCCTCTTGCATCCGTTTGTCTTTCCATTACTGAGCCTGGGGTCACTTTTCAGGGATTCTTTCTGTTACTCAAAAAGTACTATCCACGAGGCTCAAACCAAGTGTCCTGCCATCCTGGTTACTTCTCTTGTTTAATATTTCTTTGGCCTGAATTAATTAATCAAAAACATGCTGATGTCTGGGGGCAGGGGCCAGACATCAGATTATGCTTCTGAATGGATTAGAGGACTCTGAATGGGATTCATCATCCGGTGGAGGAGTCTCAAGTTTGTCCTCAGGGTTATCATCTTCAGGAACATCCAGCATTGTAGGTTGGGCTGCTGCATGGGTGCTCTGGAACATCCTTCTCTTATCCAAAGTTCACTTAGGCGTTTTTATTGTAAGGAATGTCCACAATCTTTTTATTGTTAAACGAACATCCAATAAATTTTTGCTCCAGTTGACAAAGCAAGATTTGTTTCCTCTTCTGGACATTCATATTTCCGCCTCTCTGGTTTAGCCTTGACAGTTAGTAATTCCAGGTGCTTTTCATTCCATAGCTCTGGGTGGCTATGTTTCTCATGCTGGCATATGCCAATTTTTGATGTAAATATAAATTTGCACTTCGACCATGCATAGGTCCCTGCTGTTCAACTGGTTTTGCACTATTGCGCTGTGCAATGGTGTATCACATCGTATCCTCTACTTTCACTATCGCTGAAATATCTAGCTTGAAATTTCTTAATTTGGTGTTTTCCTGCTGGGTTGACCATGAAAATAACATACTGTCAAGAGGACCAGGTTGCACAAAACAACCTGTCTGTAGGATAATTTATAATGACTTCTTTTGTTGCCACCCTATCACACCTTGATTCAATAATGACAAGTTCTGCACATATTGTGTCATTAGTTTCATTATTAGCTGTATAGTTGGTCTTATCAATCAAGGCTGTTACTCCCTCTTGTATATAACTTCTGTTACAGAATGTTTGTGACTTAATGATGTTATGAGTCTCCACAGAGTAGACTGCCCAAATAGTCTATTCAGTAATAGGTTTGTCTTCTCCTACCGATCTTCCTGACTTCACTTCTGGGCCCAGGTCCATGTAGGAAAGATATAAAAGTCTCTTGGTCACTCACCCATTTCTTCACTGGGTGGAAATGGACTTCTTCTCAGCACTGATAACAATAGAGCTGAGGCATTTTGCACAGGTTGCTGCCACTAATGCAGCTGTAAGGAGATTTGTTTCTCCAGGACACATCCCAACTGAACTGAGACAACAAGGTGCAAGGCTGGATGAACACAGCAGGCCAAGCAGCATCATAGGAGCAGAGAGGCTGACGTTTCGGGCCTAGACCCTTCATCAGAAAAGGGGGAGGGGAAGGGGGTTTTGAAATAAATAGGGAGAGAGTGGGAGGCGGATAGAAGAGGGATAGAGGAGAGGATAGGTGGAGAGGAAACAAACAGGTCGAAGAGGCGGGGATGGAGCCAGTAAAGGTGAGT